GTAAATTAAGCTACTAAAAAAAAAGTTTCAGGAAAAAAAAATAATCCATTCAATGACTGCAGTAAGATATATAGCCCCAGTTAGGTGCTACTTTATAGGAAGCCTAAAGTTAGACTTGTGTTCATGGAAATGTATATATCAGCTGTGTTTGCTATTAGATTAATTAAGATCTTTAGTAATTCAATTAAAAAATGGGGGGGAACAGTATAAAAGTAAACATAGATATTAGAGACAGTGTGGGAAGAGAGTGGGAGATGGCAGAGGGTAAGAGATAGGGAATCAAGGATGGGGGGGAAGGAAAAAATACAGAAAAAAGAAATGAAAAATTATTTGTTGACAATAACATGTATGTTGATGTGCTTGATTGAGACAATATACAGTGTACTCTGGATGGAAAATCCCATTTTGTATGCTGTAATGATGTACAGTGAATGAACATAAACAAATAAATGTAAATAAATATTAAAATTTAAAAAAATTGGAAAATTCAAAAAAAAGAAAAAACAGCCCTACTTGATCTTTACCCCTAGCTCCTCCTCAGGTACCTGGCCCATAGCTGGCACTCTATTAATGTTTATGAGACAAGTCAACAGGGCACAGAATTTCACTTCATACTCAGAACAACCCTTTGAGGAGCTATTATTACTCCATGTAAGAAATGGGAAAATGAAGGTAGAAGAGAAGTAACTTTTCTGAGAACACAGCCAGCAAGAAGGTGTGATTCCCAAGCCTGCTCTTTACAGGAATTCCAGGGCTCCTGAGCAGGTTCCCAGGGTAGTCAGCAAAAAGGGATGTGGGGTGTAGAGGGGAGTAAGGTGAGAGGAAAGGAGGATGAACAGGAAAAGCCCAGCAACACTCCCAGGCCCTAGGCAGGCCTCAGGCTGCCCCCTAGAACTTACCAATCTCCGTGTTCCCCACCACCAGTTTGGCATCAGGATGCTCAGCTTTAAGGTCCAGCAGCTCCTTCAGGGATGAGGCCTGGATCCATGTCACACGCTCCCCTTCAAAGCGCAGTTGCTTCCGAGGAGTGTCTTTCAGCCTCTGAGAAGTGTATTTGTCTTACTGTACTGTCTCCTCCTGCTGCCATCCCTGATAAATGGCTGAAGTTCACAGTAAAATCAACTCTTCTACTGACTTGCTCATACTGAACTCAGAACGGGGATATGTGTTAAGAGAGCTAGTGCACACTGAGGCAGGAACCCCACTGGGATTATAAAAGAGCATCATCTCACTTAGACTCCCACGATCTTGGTAAAGGAGGCACTGTTCACCTCTTTTTTACATGTGAAGGAGGAACCTCGGGATCATGGAGGTTATGGGACCAGCCATGGATCACCTGCCAGGATGACCCAAATTGAACAGGCTAAGAGCCCAGCTTCCTTGTAATGCCCATGCTGTCCCCAGGAGGCATAATGGATAAGGTTTGAGAGGGGACAGAGGTTAGGAAGGATGTTGTATCAGAAGAGGCTGCGTAGAACGGCTGGCTCTAGCACATGCAGGGTGACACTGGGCTGGGAAAGAAAGCCCCATGGATCAAACTGCTGGTGTTTACAGGGCACCACAATCCAGAGAAAGATATTCCAGTGTCCTGTGGCACTTTTGAAGCCTTCATGTGCTCAGCATCCCCAAGAAATGTGCACTTGAAAGATCCTGAGTGTGGCTCCATTCTTTCCTGGCCACGAGTGTGTGAAGGTTAGAAAGTGGATGTCAGGAAGTGTCCTTAAAACAAAGCTGCAAGCCATTGACCGTGTCCTTTAAATATAGCTCTCTCTCTCTCTTTTTGGTTTGTTTTTTAAAATAAAAGAACTGCTTACAAAGAGAGTATGTTGCTTGAGGGGACTTAAATTAGGGGGTCTTCAAAAGGTTTGTGGAAAATGCATATATGAAAAAACTATGTATGTTTATTTTCACACTAAGATAAACTTATACTTGAAATCTATTTTTCTACAACCCTTTTGAAGTCCCTTTATACTAGATAGATATAGCCAGAAGGTCAACAAATGTTACAGAGCACCTGTTGTCGTTAAATAGGGCTCCAGAGATACTCAGTCCTTGTCCTCATGGGTCTTATAATCTAGCAAGAAACACAGACATCTAATTATTAACTATAAGTGTGACACATGTGAGCATTCTGTAGGAGTATGTAAGAGGGACTTGACCGAATAGGGGTGTCATTAAAAGGAATAGAAATTCAGATAGAAACCTAAAGGATAAGGAATGCTCAAAGATCCCAGTGGGTTTGAAAATAAAGCAAGTCTCCCAGGACTTACATACACAGACTGGCTAAACCCTCATTGAGGCATCACGTACCATCAACTCTGGGGGAAAGATGGGTTCCTGGGTGGGATCTAGGGGGGTGAACTCCTCTGGTTTGAATAAAGATGGTGAGAGAATAAGCTGTGGAGAAAGAAAACAGGTAAGTGATACAGTAATCATCTTTCAAATACCAAGTAGGATGGATTCAGCCATTTCTTCAAGTCCTCCCAGGTCCCTGCAGGCTGGTGGAGGAGCAGGCAGCTCCAGGTTAGCAAGAACAAAGAAGTCTTGGCCAGAACCAGGGCTAATGTGCTACTTCACCTCCCCCAAGATCTGACCATCATCACCTCTCTCTTTGACTTCCTCTTACAGCCATCACTGCTGGGGTGTGGAGAGAAGGCACTACTGACTCCTCTTAGTCTGGGATGTCCCCCTCCCCCCAGGCATCCAGGGGAGAAGGACCCACTTACTGTGTGGTCTTTCTTCTGGTTCATGCAGCAGTTTGGGTTGTCCTTATTTCCTCCACAGCATCCACCATCCTAGATTGATGACAAACATTTGCACAAGAATATTTGCAGAGTTTTCACAGAAGCTAAGAAAAATAGATTACTAAAAATCTAGCAAACTCCAGTTCTGTTACCTATCCCATTTTCCTCTGCATAGAACTGAGGCTCCCTATCTCTCTCGCTCGGCTAATGTACAATAATTTAAGTAATCCCTGGAAAAAAACAGGAGCAACAGAAAAATTTATTTTCAAGACTATTTCTAGGTTATACCTTATCAAAATATATCTTTATGACCATTTTCCTTCTTCAGTGTTGCTTCCTTAGGAAGCCTCTAGGAGAAAAATTTCTCTTGGTTCCCTCCAGACTTAAAAGACTACTTCCATATCAGCTACAGTCTAGGGGGTTTGGCCTGATGTCTCCCAGACTGGATTCTCTATGGGATCCTGCCAAGGATATCCATGACCAGTACTGGACCCACAGATGTGCCCAGCCAGTGTCCCAATTGCCTCTCCAACATAGCAGTCACTTATTTACTCATTGTATGCCTGTTCTGGAGGAAGTGTACATGCTGGGTTAGCCATCACCTGTGGAAAAGGACTTGCCTGAGACCTCTCAGGATGCCATGGCAAAGCACAGATAGAGTGTATAGAATTGCTGCCTCAAGGGACTAAGGCACTGCAGTACAGGGAAGCTGTATGTTCATCTGACTGATCTACTCCAAGGAGACAGAAGTTACAACCCAGGGCTGCATGAGACACTCCAGAATGTAGAGTTGTGCTAAGACACAATGTCAGGAAAACTCACAGACATAGGTACTTTTCGGGGGCAACCAATTCCTGAAGGAGCAGACTGGGAGCAGCTCTTTTGCACAGGAGCCATGGGAGGTACCATTCCACGCTGGCACATCCCAAAGGATCTGTCATAAACCAATCTTTCCCAAGAACACTCAGATAGCCATCAAAACTGGAGATCTGGCCTTCAGGGACAGCACAGTCGGGCCATGGCATCAACAGTAAAACCCTTCCTTATCTTACCTCAAGTTTATACTACTCTGCATGCAGACCCCTCCTGCATTCACTATCAGATGCTGAACCTGCTCTATCTATTTTGGAATCTCACCACAGCCACCTTCA